TATCAAAGAAGAGTAATTGCCTTTCATGTAGTTATCTGAAGTCTCCATCCAGACGGAAGAAGAAAGGGGATGGAATTGTGATACTTGAAACTATCACTGGAAGGGGGGTTGATTGGGTGGGACTACTGGGGAACCCCTTAAAACCTTGAATGGGAGAGCTTGAACCCCAAGTCCTGTCTAGCATGCCTGCAACCATTTTCTCTTAATAAAGGATTCCTGTTGGAAGAGCTATTCCAAGAGTTCTGTCTTCTTAAGATGCAAAGTGGGGTGGGTCCTTACATTGGCTTTGGAAGAATATCTGAAGAACAATGATGAAGATGCACTGAAATTAGTATATCAGGAAGGCTTACTGACTACTGGAGAGACCAAACTGGCCTACAAGAAAGACCAAATGAAAAACAGAATAGAGGCATGGGAAGACAAAGCACTACATGGTCAATACATTAAAAAAATAGCTGGGAAAGCAGATAATAAGAAGACCTGGCAATGGCTAAGAGCAGGAAAATTGAAGAAAGAGACCGAGGGACTAATTCTGGCTGCACAAGACCAAGCCTTAAGGACAAATGCATATAAAGTCAAAATTGAGAAGACAGCAACAGACAGTAAGTGCCGCCTATGCAAAGAAGCTGAAGAAACAGTGGACCACCTGGTAAGCTGTTGCAAGAAGATTGCACAGACTGACTACAAGCAGCGGCATGACAAAGTAGCAACAATGGTGCATTGGAAGATCTGCAAAAAATATCATTTGCCTGTAAGCAAAAACTGGTGGGATCATAAAATAGAGAAAGTCATAGAAAATGATAAAATTAAACTGCTCTGGGACTTCAGAATTCAAACAGACAAGCACCTGCAACATAACACCCCAGACTTAACAATTGTCGATAAGAAAGACAAAAAAGTCTGGATAGTGGACGTGGCAGTGCCTGGAGACAGCAGAATAGAAGAGAAAGAACTGGAGAAGATAACAAAATACAAAGACCTACAATAGAAATAGAAAGACTGTGGCAAAAGCAAGCAAGGGTAGTACCAATAGTATAGGCTCCTTGGGTGCAATCCCCAAACAACTGGAGCACCACTTGAACACCATTGGCATTGACAAATTCGCTATTAGTCAATTGCAAAAGGCGGCCTTACTAGGAACTGCTTCCATCCTGCGACGATATCTGTAATACCATCAAACATTCACATCTGCCTATCCCAAGTCCTGGGTAAGGACTCATAGGTAGACAAAATGCCAAATCCAGTCTGAACATCTGGCTGACTGTGCGATGATCCATAATAATAATCTGCAAGAAAAGGAAGACCAACATGTATGTGGCATGGATTGACTACAAAAAGGCATTTGACTCTCTGCCACATGACTGGATAATCAAGTGCCTAGAAATAACAGGAGTCAGTAGAAACATCAGAATGATGATGATGATGATGATAAAGTTGGAAGGGACCTTGGAGGTCATCTAGTCCAACCCCCTGTTCAGGCAGGAAACCCTATACCATTTCAGACAAATGGCTGTCCAGTCTCTTCTTAAAAACTTCCAGTGTTGGAGCATTCACCGCTTCTGGAGGCAGGTTGTTTCACTGGTTAATTGTTCTTACTGTCAGGAAGTTTCTCCTTAGTTCTAGGTTGCTTCTCTCCTTGATTAGTTTCCATCTGTTGCTTCTTGTTCTGCCTTCAGGTGCTTTGGAGAATAGCTTGACTCCCTCTTCTTTGTGGCAGCCCCTGAGATATTGGAACACTGCTATCATGTCCCCCCTCGTCCTTCTCTTCATTAAACTAGAGAAGACATACCCAATTCCAGCAACTGTTCCTTATATGTTTTAGTTTCCAGTCCTTGAATCATCTTTGTTGCTCTTCTCTGTACTCTTTCTAGAATCTCAACATCTTTTTTACATCGTGGTGACCAAAACTGGATGCAGTATTCCAAGTGTGGCCTTACCAAGGCATTGTAACGTGGTATTAATACTTCACATGATCTTGATTCTATCCCTCTGTTAATGCAACATAACACTGTGTTGGCTTTTTTGGCAGCTGCAGCACACTGCTCGCTCATATTTAAATGATTGTCTACTAGGACTCCGAGATCCCTCTCACAGTTACTACTATTGAGCAAGGTGCCCTCTATACTATACCTGTACATTTGGTTTTTCTTGTCTAAATGTAGAACCTTACTTTTTTCACCATTGAATTTCATTTTGTTAGATAGCGTCCCGTTTTCAAGTCTGTCCAGATCCTTCTGTATCTTAAGCCTATCTTCTAGAGTGTTGGCTATTCCTGCCAGCTTGGTGTCGTCTGCAAATTTGATGAGTTCCCCATCTATCCCCTCGTCCAAATCGTTGATGAAGATGTTGAAGAGTACTGGGCCTAGAACAGAGCCCTGGGACACTCCACTATATACTTCCCTCCATATAGATGCAGTTCCATTGAGGACCAATGCTGAGTATGGCTGGTCAGCTAGCTACGAATCCATCTGGTGGTGATGCTGTCTAACCCACATTTTTCTATCTTATCAAGTAGTAGGTTGTGATCTACTTTATCAAATGCCTTACTGAAGTCCAAGTATTCCTCCAGTCCACTAATTTTGTCACTTGGTCAAAGAATGCAATAAGATTTGTCTGGCATGATCTGTTTTTGACAAACCCATGTTGGCTTTTAGTAATGACTTTGTTTGCCTCTATGTGTTTGTTGAAAACAGTCTTAAATTTCAAAAGAGCTGACTTTAACAAACTCAGAGAAAACCTAGGAAAGATCCCATGGATGAAAATCTTAAAGGGGAAAACAACCAAAGAAGCGTGGGAAACCCTGAAAAATGCAATCATAAAAACCCAGTCCAGCACAATACCACTGAGAAATAAAAACAAGAATTTCAAGAAGAAAACAGCATGGCTGCACAAAGAACTCTCTGACAAACTGAAAGACAAAAAGGACAAATACAAAAAATGGAAAGAGAGTCACATAACTAAGGCTAATTATCAACAGACAGCCAGAACATGCAAAGATGAAGTCAGGAAAGCAAAGGCTCAGAACAAACAAAGACTTGCAACAGAAATGAAGGATAATAAAAAAAATTCTTCCAACATATTAACAATAAAAAAGTCAAGGGAACTGTAGGCTCACAGAAGAGAGAAGATGGCAAGGAAATAACAGGCAACAGGGAGAAGGCAGAGCTGCTTAATTCATACTTTGCATCAGTCTTCACACAAAAAGAAACTATAGCCCAACATACCCCCCCCCCAAAAAAAACCACCGCAAAAGACATACTAGAAACAAAAACAAAAAGAAGCAAGAAAATGGTAAGAGAACACTTATCTGACCTTGATGAATATAAATCACCAGGACCCAACAGATTATATCCCAGAGTTCTGAAGGAGGTGGCAGATGTTATCTCAGAACCATTGCACCACATCTTTCAAAAATCCTGGAGCACTGGGGAAGTACCTGAGGATTGGGAAAAGGCTGATGTGGTTCCCTTCGTCAAGAAAAGGGAAACAAATGCACCCAAGAAACTACAGACCAATCAGTTTAATATCAATACCTGGGAAGATCCTAGAAAAGATAACAAAAAACCCAGATCTGTGAACAACTGGAAGCAAACAAAGTTATAACTAATACCCAGCATGTGTTTGTTAAAAACAGATCATGCCAAATCAATCTTATTTCATTCTTCCACAAAGTGATTAAACTAATAGACCAGCAAAATACTGTGGATGTAGTATACTTAGACTTCAGTAAGGCATTTTATAAAGTAGACTACAACCTACTCCTTGGTAAGCTAGAAAAAGCTGGAATAGAAAACATCACCACCAGATGGATCTCTAGCTGGCTGGCAAACCGTACTCAACGAGTAGTTCTCAATGGCACTATATCCACATGGAGAGAAGTAAGCAGTGGGGTACCACAAGGTTCCGTCTTAGGCCAGTACTCTTCAATATTATAGAATAGAATAGAATAGAATAGAATAGAATAGAATAGAATAGAATAGAATAGAATAGAATAGAATAGAATAGAATAGAATAGAATAGAACGGAACCTTGGAGGTCTTCTAGTCCAGCCCCCTGCTCAAGCAGGAGAATTTATACCATCTCAGACAGATGATTGTCTAGTCTCTTCTTAAAAACCTCGAGTGATGGAGCACCCACGATTTCTGGAGGCAAGCTATTCCACTGGTTGTCCTCACTGTCAGGAAGTTTCTCCTTAATTCCAGGCTGCTTCTCTCTTTGGTCAGTTTTCAACCATTGTTTCTCATTCTTCCCTCTGGTCCTTTGGTGAATAGCCCCTCAAATACTCTGGTGAGCAGCCCCTCAAATACTGGAATACTGCTATCATGTCTCCCCTATTTCGTCTTTTCTTTAGACTAGCCAAACCCAAGTTCTGCAGCCATTCTTCGTATGCCCAAAGTGGGAGATTTGACTGTATCTGTTACATAAGCATTTGTGGAAGTAGAGAGTCCTTCCTTTTGAAGAAAAATAGTTATATCTCTTTTCAATGTCTTCAATTCATATTTTGATCTTTAATCTGAATTACCAAATTTTCATCTGCTAAGGTGATTCCCACTTTCTTATCTAAGGTCCACCTCTCCACTATTTGCAAATATTGAAACCATGATTGTAAAATATTTTCTTGCCTTAACAAATCTGAAGACTTTAGTTGCCAATCAGTACCCAACCAAATAAGTAATTCTTTATATGAAATATTATCAAAATTCACCCCCTTAGAAACCCCCTGAATTGCTTGTCCAGGAATCCCCCAAATAAGTATTTTATAATTTAACTTATAATAATACTTCTTCCAAACTCGAAGTAAAGCATTTCTTAAAATGTGTGACTTAAAAACCAGATCTACTTTCTTGTCAAAAATTAAATATGCATGCCAACCATATAACAAATCCCAACCTTCAAGAGCAAGAATATTTTTATTTGTTAAATTAAGCCAATCACTTACTAAAGTTAAAGTGGCCACATCATAATATAATTTCAAATTAGGTGCTTTAAGTCCACCTCTTTCTCGAGTGTCTTGCAAAATCTTAAACTTTACCCTTGATTTCTTCCCACCTTCAATTCATATTTCATGGCCGTAAGCTGCTCAAATATTAAGATAACAGATTGCACTGTGAGGATGATGATGTTAACTCAGCTGATGAAGAAACATTCGAAAACTAAACAACAAGCTCAGAGAACAAACCACCACCAACATCTACCACCTAAGTACAAATATTTTCCAACATTTCTTATATTTTATGCTTTTCGCCTGATTATTTCCCTCAAGGAATATATAGCAAATGCCTTGAAAGATTTGATACACAAAGAGTAAGAAAAATAGCTTATATGAAAATCAAAGCTGAATTAAGTATTTGATTAAAAAATCTGTTATGAGGACCAGTTAGTTCCAATATGCTCCACAATTGCTTTAACACCTCCAGCTAATTTGTTTTGGTCTATTTGAATATAATTCACCAATAAAAGAAAGTTGAATCCATACACATTGTATTCAGTAACTTACTGTGACATTTGTTTTCTGTGACTGCACCTTTTCTATCACTGCTTTGGTTTTTTGGACAATTTTCACAAGCCACCTGGCCATATTTTCCATTATAGGATCCAGCAGGACACAAAATACAGGTTGTTCCATATTTTGCACTGAATCTACCTGGTGGACATGTCACTATTCCATTAAAAAAAAAGATATATAACAAATTATATACAATATAACAATTTATATACTAGTCTTCCACTGAGGACCTGTATATTGCATGAGTGAGAAAGAGGGCTGTGACAATAACTACAGACCCTTCATATCCTGGACATAAACTGTTTCAACTTCTTCCCTCAGGATGACAATGTGGGGCACTGAATGTCAAAACAACTAGACACAAAGAAGTTTTCCCCCATGCTATCACTCTGCTAAACAACTAAGTTGAAAACAGTATGTTATGCCCTAAGACAGTGGTAGCGAACCTATGGCAAGGATGCCAGAGGCGGCACTCAGAGCCCTCTTTGTGGGCACATGTTGCCGTTGCCCCACCCTTGCCTCCCCCCTGCTCACCAGCAGTCCCCCTGGAGGAGAGTCGCCCCTGAGCATGGCCCACGTGGAGCAGCGCAGCCAAGAACATGGCAGAGAGGCAGTGTAGACAAGACTCTGCCCTCATGCCCCATCGCGCACAGTTGATGCTGTGGGGCACGGGAAGAGGGTGTGGCCGCCATGGCGCTGCTGGGCTGCCTGGGCGATCTGTGGCAGGTGGACCTGGGGGCAGGTGGGGTGGGGGCGGGCGGGGGCAGGGCAGGGGGTGGAGTGGGGGCAGGGCCAGCTTTTGGGCACTCGGTCTCTAAAAGGTTTGCCATCACTGCCCTAAGATATCAAACTACAGGTAATCCTCAAGGTATAAAAGATCATTTAGCAACCATTCAAAGTTACAATAGACCTCCTAAATACCATGTACGGCCATGATTTAAAGATAAGAATTTTAGAAAAGTCATCTGGTCATTTGCACTTACGAATAATCAGATGGCTTCATAACTTTTCAGAGATGCTACAACGCACCTATCTCTCCCCCCCCCCATCCTTGCCTTGCTGGGTTCCCAAAGGCACTGGGCCTGCTTTGTCCCCCTGTTCTACCCCTCACTATCTCTTGCTTTTCTTCTGGAGATCTGCAGAATTCAGCATTGTGAGCCGATCTTATTGGGCCATGTAGAGCAGCCATTTGCAAACTGACCTCAACAAAGCAGCATTTCCCTGATCTTCTGCCTTTCTGCATGGCCTCTTTAACTCAAAACAGATAATGAGCCCCAATTTGTTCTCTGCAGTTTCTATATTTCCTCCTGAAACAGGAGCATTTCAGTGAGATGGAGAACAGACAATGAAGGGTTAAGTGTTAAAAGGGCAATGCAGAGGGAGCTGCTTTGCTTTTTTTGAAACCTGGCCTGGAAGACAATGCTGCTCTCCCACCCCCACCCCCCACCCCGTTTTAGTAAGACCACCCCTGGAATATTGCATCCAGTTTTGGTCAACATATTACAAAAAAGATGTTGAGACTGTGGGAAAAAGTGCAAAGAGGAGCAACTAAGATGATTAAGGGCCTGGAGACAAAACATGAAGAATGGTTGGGTATGGCTAGTCTAGGGAAAAGAAGGACTAGCAGAGTCTAGCAGTGCTCCAGTATTTGAGGGGCCACCACAAAGAAGAGGGGGTCAACTTATTTTCCAAAGCACCAAAAGGCAAGACAAGAAACAATGGATGGAAACTAATCAAGGAGATAAACAATCTGGAATTAAGGAGAAACTTCCTAACAGAACAATTAACCAGTGGAACAGCTTACCTTCAGAAGTTGTAGGAGCTTCAACACTGGATGTTTTTAAGAAGAGACTGGACAGCCACCTGTCTGAAAGCAGGAGATCAGACTAGAACAGGGGTCTGCAACCTTAAAAACTCAAAGAGCCACTTGGACCCATTTCCCAGAGAAAAGAAAACACTGAGAGATGCAAAACTTGTGCGTGCATGCGTGCGTGCATGCAAGGGATGGAGACCTTGATTGAAGAGTTTAATTAAAATGAAATAGAGGCTGCTGTGCATGAGTTCTCTCTCTCTTTCCTCTCTCTCCCCCTCTCTCTCACTCTTTCCTCTCCTTCTCTCTCTCTCTCTTTCTTTTTCTCTTTCCTCTCCCTCCCACTCTTTCTCTTTCCTCTCTCTCTCTTTCTCTCTCTCTTTCTCTCCCCCCCTCTCTCTTTCCTTTCCCTCTCTCTCTCCCCTCTCGCTCTTTCTCTTTCTCCCTCTCTCTCTATTTCTCTCCCTCTCTTTCTCTCTGTCTCTTTTCCCCCCCCTCTCTCTCTCTCTGCAAATGGCAAAGGAGGCTGGGAGCCACAGGAGAAGATTCAAAGAGCTGCATGTGGCTCCAGAGCCGTGGGTTGCTGACCCATGAACTAGAAGACCTCCAACTCTTCCAGCTGTATTCTGACTTTCTTTCCAAGCAGAACTGTAATTTCTCTTGTTCAAATGACATCCTGATGTCCTCACTGTAGACATACATTTGTATCAGATGGATCAGTGAGTTGATGTCTCATTTGTTCTTTCCATACAACTTGATGTCATCCATGTAAAGAAGGTGACTGATGGTAATTCCATTCTTAAACTTCTATCCATGTCAACACTTTGGCTGAGACAAACCTATGCAGAACAGCAGCAAGGACAATGCATCACCTTTGTATATTTTGCACTTGATGGCTACTTGTGTGAGCTGTCCTGAGTTGACTTCTAGGGTTGTCTTCTAGTTCCTTGAGTTCTTGAGGAAGGTCCTTAGTGTCCTATTTACTTTGCATAGCACCAGGCAGATGCATGGGTATGGCACTGAGTCACAGGCTTTCCTACAGTCAATCCAGACTGTGTTCATATATGGTCTGTCTAAACCTTATGTTTGGGGCAACTGCTCTAGAAGTTTAAAAGTGGAATGAGCAATGGGTACTTTGAGCCTTTGGTGTATTTCCTAACGCCCTTCTGAGCTGTGCTCATGTAATGGCCCATGTTGTGAGAGGTTATTGGCTGGTAATTGGCTGGTACTGTTCCCTTTCATGATCAGCATTGTCCTTACTTAGGTTAGCCAGTCTGAATGGGAGCTACTAGCAGCTGGTTCATCTGTGTTGCTAGGTGTTCATGTTAGTTTCTTTAGCCAGTAAGTGTGGATCATGTGCGGGCTAGGTGCTGTGCAGATGTTCATTTTGTAAACCCACTATTGGATGTTTGCTACTGTGATGTGACTGGTTCCTCTTCTGGGAGACTGCTGTGGTGTGGTATTAGGTCCTGCAGTCAATTTGCACCAATGTTATATGTCTTTTAATGTGGAAATTTTAAATTTAATGTCGAGAAAAGCAAGGTTTTACACTTAGGCAACAGTATGCAGCAAAAACCAAAAAAGCTAATACAATCCTTGGTTGTATAAACAGAGGCATAGAATCAAAATCATGTGAAGTATTGTATTACCCCACTGCTTACTTCCCTCCATGTAGATGTAATACCATCAAGGACTACTTATTGAGTACGATTTGTCAGCCAGTTACAAATCCATCTGGTGGTGATGCTGTCTATCCCAGCATCTAGTTTTTTCTAGTTTACCAAGAAGTAGTTGTGGCCTACTTTTTTGAATGCCTTGCTGAAGTCTAAGGATACCATGTCTACAGCATTTTGTTGGCCTACTGATTTAGTCACTGTCAAAGAATGAAATAAGATTGGTTTGGCATGATCTATTTTAGCAAACCCATGCTGGCTTTTCGTCATAACTTTATTTGTTTCTAGATATTCACAGATCTGTTTTTTGAATATTTTTTGCATTATCTTTTGCAATCTTCTGGTAGTTCTCTGATACTCCAGGATTTTTTAAAGATATGGTACGATGGTTCTGAGATAACATGTAGCAGCTCCTTCAAAATTCTGGCGTGTAATCCATCAGATCCAAGTGATTTATATTCATCAAGATCAGACAAGTGTTCTCATACCATTTTCTTGCTTATTTTAATTTTTATTTCTAGTCTGTCTTTTACAGTTATGTTTTTGATAGGTTGGGCTATAATTTCTTTTTGCAAGAAGACTGATGCAAAGAATGAGTTAAGCAGCTCTGCTTTCTTTGCACTGCCTGTTACTTCCTTGCCATCTTCTCTCTTTAGTGGACCAACTGTTTCCTTGACTTTTTTCTTCTTATTTATATGTTGAAAGAAACTTTTTAAATTATCTTTGATTTTTGTTCTTTGTTCATTCTGAGCCTTTGCTTTCCTGAGTTTATCTTTGCAGATTTGGGCTATCTGCTGATATTCTGTGTTAGTTATGTGTCCCTCTTTCCATTTTTTGTACTTATCTTTTCTGTCTTTCAGTTTATCAGAAAGATATTTGTGCAACCACAAATATCTTGGATTTCTTCTTGGATTTCTTGTTTTTCTTTTTCAATGATATTGTGTTGGACTGGGCTTTTATGATCATATTTTTCAGTTGCCCACCCTTTTTGAGTTGTTTTTCCCTTTAGGATTTTGATCCATGGAATTTTTCTTAGGCTATCTCTGAGGTTTTTTTTAAATCAGTTCTTTTAAGGTTTAAGTCATTGGTTGGGTTATATTCTATTGCTTCTCTTTGCATTATATTGAATTCCAGTATGACCTGGTCACTCTTGCCCAAATTTCCAGTGACTTCAACTGGCCAAAGAATGCATGGAAGCTGTTGATGTGAAGACCCAGAAGCTCCTCATAATGCACAGAGGTTTCTACCCCAAGTCCAACACCTAGAGACTGTACATCAGTCAAAGAGAGAGCAGCTGGAGTCTGGTGAGTGTCAAAACTACTGACATGAATGAAACTAGATGCTGAGAGAATGTCTAAGGCAGTAGCAGATGTTGGAGAAAAATCAAGAGAGGAAGTTCCATGGCAAGACAAGATTCTGCATGGGATCTATAATCAACAGTCTAGGACATTTAATCACTGACCCTTGGCTGTGCCCATTTCGCTCCCAGCCACCTGCCTCAGCCTATTCACAGCCAGCTTTCCTCCTCTACTAGCCCTATCCCAGCCATTCTCCATGGCCAATGGCCCTCAGGCCCTTCACTTCCCACTTTTCATCCCTGCTCAGTTGCCCAGGCACCATTTGACCCAGGTGTTTTGCTGTATGGAACAAATAGCCCCCAGATAATCAGGTGGCAAGCAGGAGCAATGGTGCTGCAGGGGCAGATGTGATTGGCAGTAGGCAGGATGATCACAGAGGCTGTGGGGTTGCAGTGTGCAATTCAAGTTTTTTTTCTAAGTGCCGTGACTGCTCCACAAGTTTCAGACCAATTGAGTGGCTCCAGAGTTGTGGTTTTGACAGGTCATGCAGAGGGGATGGGCCCCAAGTTATAAAAAGAATCAGAAACAGCAAAGCTGTAGCACAAAAGCATCCTGCTGCTAGGAGCCATGCGGATTGATCACAAGGACCAAAGAGGAGGAGGAAAGGAAGAGTGGTGGTGAGAATAGCAGCTGCCAGGGCCTCTGGGGAGGCAGACAGGTGAGGGTGTGTTGGGACTAGGAAGGGAATAGGGGCACCTCTAGTAGGCTTTGCAGAGATGGCTTGGCTCACAACTCAGCCAGATGCCTCCCCAGTGGCCCCAGGGGTTGCTACTCCTGCTACTACTCCCCCTCCCTTCCCTTCTGGTCCTGGTGACAGATCTGTGCAGCCCCAATATATGCCTTGTCCCTGTCTGCATGACCTGTCAGAACCATGGCTCTGGAGCCACCTAGCACAGCCTCTTTAAAAAATCTTCTGGAGCAGCCACAGCACTTTAAAAAAAATTGCATTGCACGCTGCCCATCCCACAGCCCCAGCAATCATCCTGCCAACCACCAATCACACACTGCCATCACTATATCATTGCTTCTGCCTGCCATCTGATTATCTGGGGGCTATTTGTCCTATGCAGCAAAACACCTGGGTCAAACATGTGAGATGAAGGGAGGGGTGGAGAGCCAGGGGTTCATTGGCCATGGAGAATGGCCAGGGGAAGGCCAAGGGAGGAGGAAAGCTGGCTGTTGTGGGTGGCTGGGGGTGAAGTGAGCACAGCGAAGGGTTGGTACCTAAACATCCCATTCTGTAATTGACATGTAGCCAAAGTGACAGACATTGGGAATCTTATCAGTGGCTGGAAAGGACTGGTTTGAAAGACAGCACTGAGGCATTGATCATACATCACAAGAACAGGCACTAACACCACATTCACAGAAGCAGGGGTTTGCCACACCAGATAGGATCTAAAGTGCAGTCTGTGCAGAGAGGACTCAGAGACAATGCAACACAGAGTGGGAGGGTATAAGATGCAGGCAAGAACAGCATATACTGAACAATGCAACCAAGTAGCTGACATTGTATACTGAAATATCTACAGAATACGGACTAGACCCTCCTAAGTCTAGATGGGAGATCCCACAGAAGGTTGTGGAAAATAAGATTCTGTGGGATTTCCAGATTCAGATAGACAGGCAGTACTGGCCAATCAACCAATATTAAAGACAAAGACCAAAAAACAGCAATGATGACAGATGTAGCAATGCCAAGTGAAAGCAACATCAGGAAGAAGGATTATAAGAAACTGGAGAAATATTAGGGACTGAAGAAAAACTGGACAGGATGTGGAAAGTAAAAGCCGAAGTGTCCCAGTAATGGGAGAAGCACTCAGAGATATGATTCCTAAGCTGGGAGAGTAGCTCCAACAGATACAGGATGACATCAGAGCTCTCTGTCTAGAAGAATGCAGTGTCAGTGTTGCTTCCTCTTGAATGAATAAAGTATAAGAAAGCCACTCTGGGAAATAGGTTTCTATAATATAAAATGTGCTATTTATACCAAATGATATTGCACAATATGTAATAATTGTGCAATATTATTTATCTATAAGAATTCTGGCATAGAGTTGGAATACTCTGTATTAGCAAATAAACATGTAATGATTTGTAATATTAAGTATATTTCTTATTAACTTTAGATAAGATTAATTCAATGAAGTATTTTTTCTCACTTATAAGAAATTTTGAAGAAAATTTAAGGACAGGGAGTTCTTCAGTTATAAACATCATTAAGACCTGCAATTATGGCCATAAGTCATGACAATCATAAAGCAGGTCATCACATGACTGGACCTAATTTTAGAAACTTTTTGCTGTAGTTGGTAAGTGAATGCTGGGGTTACAAAGCAAATGCCAAAATCATAAAGCAAACACTATGTTGGTTAAATAAACACTGCTGTTAAGCTAACCCATGGTTTGCTATGAGGCAGTTTTTGCCAGAAACTAGAAGTAAACACTGTTTCCCAGCAAAATTGCCTCAAATCTTATTCTTGTGATTGCGGGGTGCAGCAAATGGCTGTAAATGTGAATTGGCTGTTGAGCAACCAAAATGTAGTCACAAGACTGGGGTGGCAGGTAACATCAAAACATTGAAACCAGGTTGTAAATTGCTTTGGGGGTCTGTTGTAACTTTGAACAGTGACTAAGTTGGACTTAGTCACTGTTCAAAGTGACTACAAGGACTACTTGTATCAATCTCATTATATTGGAAATGTAAAATAGGTAAGGGGATATATATTCATATATGGGTTTGCCTCAATATTGCTAATTTTAGTTTGGTATTCATAATCTATTAATGTAGCACGTCAATCAAAGATGGGAATATATTTTGAATTATATACCAAAATATGCTTGCTTTTTGCTTATAAACTAGCTTTAATGAAAGGATTAATAAAAATTATTAATTTGTAAACACATCATTAACTTTTGTCAAGTTAATGAGGTGTTTACACATGAGGTTGAATGGTTTTCTCTATATGCAATATGTTTTTGTTTTTATATATTAAAGAATTTTTTTTTTTAAAAAAAAAAGACAGGCATAGAGATCTCCAAAGCAACACCAACAAAACAGCCAAATGATGAAACTTGAAAGGGGACATAAGGAGGAATCTTTTGAAATGCAAACTTGTATATGATATTGGGGTGCAATTTCAAAGGCCAAAGATTACACTGAGATGCTGTAACACAACTTGTCACTTCTTGTAATTTATACCAGCACTATGCAACTAGATTTTCTTGCCAAATCCTTTGCTCTGTTCCTAGCCTTTGTTCAAACAAATAGCATATTTGAAGTCCCAGATGCAAAATGCAACTACCAGACATTAACTACAGATGGGAGACAAACTGGCTAGTTCTGTGGTGGCGAACCTATGGCACGCGTGCCACAGGTGGCATGCAGAGCCCTCTCTGTGGGCACGCACGCCGTCACCCCAGTCCTAGGTCTTCAACTGGGTTTTATAAAAAATTTTTGCTTTAGGCCTCCACCGCCGTGTGCAAAAAAAAAAAAGGGGGGGGGGTTCAATTAATCAATTTCAACTTCTCATGGGAAAAAAAAAAGATCTCGCAAAGTTGGAATTGATTGATTAAACTTTTTAGTCCCACCCAGTGTGCCGTTACCACTGCAGCCACGCCAACCCAATGGGCCACACCCAACCAATGGGCCATGCCCACCCAGCACCCAATGATACGTAAGTGGATTTTGTGTTGCAGTTTGCGCACTCGATCTCTAAAAGGTTTGCCATCACTGGGCTAGTTGCTAATTTACCATTAGCAAGTTATCTTTTTTCTTCCCCATTTCTCTATGTATAATTCTACTCCACACCCTAGAAACTTACCACAGCATCCTGGACATATTGTATTGTTGTTCATGGTACTTGTGTTTTTCCCAAACCCTGGTTTGCAATGATCTACTTTAACACCAGATAGAGTACCAGGAATATAACTTAAAAGATCACCAGGAAAGGGATCTGTGTTTAGGACTTCAAAGAACTGCTTGATTTTGTCATATGCCTACAATTTAAAAAGATGATTGCATTAATATTTGATTGTCAACTGGCTCCCAAGGTGGATTACATATAGAATATAATGCAAGATACTCATTTCTGCTAGCTAATATCATAAATAGTAGTTTCCATTCAAACAAAAATTAACTATGTGCAAACTGCATTCTGGACATGAACTGGTTTATCCTCAGAATGTATTAGGTTTGGGGGGGGGGAGAGGCCTATGCCTATTTTCTAGCATTCTAGAAAATTATGTTCCAGTATATGAACTGATTCACAAATTTGTAAACAACATTACACTAAAAGTTGATTAGATCTGTAGGTAGCAAAGACTGATAGGTGTGGCAGACCTTAATATTAAGAAAAATATATTGATGTTGTGAATTTACATGATCATCTTTTTTTGCTTTGGACAGACTCATGTCTTGAAGAATGCTATTTTCAAATATGATTGTTTTGAAGTATTTTAGAATAATTCTATATTACCTTTCTGATGCTGCTTGTGGAATGTTGACAATGAGAATTTTGACAAAAATCTGCTGAATCTAGTATAAGAGGAAACACTGCAAAAAGTGAAAAAGAGAGAATATTTTATGTTTTAATTATATTTTTCAGATGATTTTTAGGTCATATCTTAATATGATAATTTCATATATCAGAATACAATAACGTTACCACAGATAAAATCAGTCTGCAATATCAGGCCATTATAAGGTGGCAAGGATGAACTATGAAAAGATACACTTAAAAGTCAGTTACTCAGGTACTATTTATTCAAATTCTTGATTAACAACATTTTAACAAAAATCAGCACATGATTTGAATCTATTAAGGACTTAGTTCTCTGTCTATTGAAAAGAAAAGACTTCAAAAAATGCTTCCTTGCATATAAAAATAACAGTCAGGATTTAGTCAATGTTCTCCTTCTAGCCAACATAGCTGGCAATTGGAGAACCCAATGCAATAGGGGCTATGAGGAACAGAGAAGTGGGAAGTTACAAAGAGAAAGAGAATTTTGGTAGTGGCTAAACATCTTAATTTTGCACTCTCAATATACAATACGGTATGTTCCCTGAACTATAAACAAAGGAGATATGTCAACTGAAAAGCAATCTATTTTTAGATACAGTTATTCCTTGACATATGATGGCAATTAGGACCAAAATTTCCATCCCTAAGTAATGTGGTTGTAAGGTGTGACAGCATCACTGAGGGACAGCAATCTCTGTTGCTTCGGTTAATCAAATCTCACAGCTGATTGGCAAGGCAACTTCTTGCCAGCTTACCACAAAGGATTTATGAGGCTGCAAGGGAGGATCAGGGAGAATACATGAAAGTACAAGGATGTGTGTGAGAGGCATGATACAGGTCGATGTGTGAGAGTGCACAAGAGGCAGGCACAGGTCAGGTATGCAATGGTGCATCAGGATACAAGAGTTATGGCACAGATAAGGAAAAGTACCCCAAGGATGCAAGGGGGCACGAAAGATGCAGCATGGGTTGAAAAAGGTACAAAGGGTGTGAAGGGATGCACGAGAAGTATGGCATGGATAAGGGAAGATGTGCGAGGTGTGGTGTAAGTTGGGGACAATGTGCAGGGGTATGAGTGAGGCACAACTAGGATTGGTGAAGGTGTGAGTGATTGGCGCAGCCCAAGTGCAAATGGACTGAGAAAGTGTTTTCTGACGGGGAGGACATTTAACCCAATGACTTGTGATTTTCCCTGTCAGCTTCCCTATTGACTTCCTGGGAAAGACAGCAGAGAAAGTTGAAAATGGCTATCTTGCGATCTCAGGGCACTGCAACCAGTTGTAAGTGTGAAGTGGTTGTCAAGATTGCAATCACATGATTGTGGGGGTGCTGGAACAGCCAGAATTTTGAGGAATAGTCATAACCACCATTTGCTCACTACCATTATAACTTCTAGCAGTCACTGAATGAATGGTGCTAAGTCAAGGACTACTTATATGGTGATTTCATAGTTGCATAGAGAGGTTTGGTGGCTAATGACTTACAGATACTGGAGATGGTCTTTGATTCAGCGGTTCAAGTCCTAACATCATGTGACAGAGTAAATTTCCATCAATTGCCTTGGCTTTTGTCCACCAATCAGTTTGAAACCATGCCTTATGCAAGTAGATAAATAGATATCACTTTGTTGGGAAAAATGACAGAATTTTGTGTACATGGTTGGACCCTTGCCAGTGCTGGATCTGCCCAGGCTGATTTGGAGAATGGTTGCTATTTATTTTTGACACATATTTAATGGACATATATACTGAAATAGACTCATTATTACATTTGTAGTACAAGTGATATTATTATTATATTACCACTTGTAATGATATCAGAAATAATATCTGCAATATTTTCATATTTGTGGTATTATATAATATTGTATAGCACACACACACACACACACACACAAACAGAGAAGTAGTGAGCAAAGTTTTCACCTTACCTATGAACTGAAAGGTAAATTTATGTGTTATTTTTTTCAATGTGTCTGTAGCAGTATGACACTGGGTATTCCATTGCTTGATTTCACAATTAAGCTTATAAATTAAGCTCTCTAATTTCTCTAAGAGATATTTTATAAATGAGGCCTCTGTGCTTGTTTCACAGGTTCCACTTGTGAATTCTGATGTCATGTATATACTCCTTTCTGGCACATGATATACTGTTAAAAATTAAAACAAATTATTTCTCTAACAGTTCACAATATGCAAGCTACCAAAAGCTAACACCAATGCATTATTGGTTCTATTGAAGAATGTATTGTCTTCTTTTGAAAGTAACATGAAATAGCAGGATCCAGGCAATCTCTTTTTTAAAATTTTGTTCAGCTGACTGATCAGAATTTCCCTAGTAGAACTTAATAAAATATGCTTAAATCTGAAAACCACCTTCACATGACTTTTATAGCTGCTCCCAAATCTCCAGAGAGAGGTTAAGTGGATTGCTCATTTTGGAAAAGGGAAGAAGGGGATCAGGAGACCCAGCAGATGATCATTTATGACTTATATGTTTAGATTATTACAATGGACTCTATATGGGATAGCCTTTGAAGTCCATTTCAAAAATATAGCTGGCCCAGAATTCAGCAGTATGGGCTGTAATGGTCATGCCTCAGTATGCTTATGTGGCACAGGTGCTCCATAAGCTACATTGGTTGCTATCTGGCTTCTAGTGCACCTCAAGGAGCTTGTTATTACCTCTAAAGCCTTTCATGTATAGGGCCTGGTTTATACAATTGGCTAGCCTTTTAAATTTGATAAACAAAACAAACATATTTTATAGTTTTCTGTAAATAATAGGTTATGCATCATTTTAGCTGGGTTCTACAACATACTCAAAATTAATTGTTTATAAGGGAATTGTTGACTTGTTTTCTTCTATGTAATGTTCTGAATAGATTGTTTTCTTTTTGATTTATTGTACTATGAATGCTTTACTGCATAGTATGGGTACACGTATGTGTGTGTGTGTGTGTTGTGTGTATCTGTGAGTACATATATCCAGAGTTATTCTCATTGCACTAGGTATAGATATAATAAATAAATACAAAACACTAATTAAGGCTGTAAGGACTTGGGGACCTGACAAAGGCATAATGCGTTATGTGGATCAGACATATATCAAACTTTCCTTAAAATATACTTTTTTATTTTATTTTGGTCATAGACCAACATTAAACTAGTAATATAATAATCACTCTAAAATAAAAGTAAAAATATCCTATTGATAAAAAATGAAAAATTAACATAAAATTAAAACTTGGGAAAGACCTATAAAATTATAATGAATTTTACAATCAATAGTCTGAATGCTATAGATAACTAAGATAGATAACTATACAAAGAGCTAAAATAGTAAGATTTGTAATTATGAATATGTAAAGTTTGCTAACTTACATTAAATTTAATATTTTCTGAAACCCTAATAGGGTTTATTCAGATTATGACAGTGAATATCCAACCAACTACTACAGAGAAGTGGCAAAATAAAACTACACTTCATCTCTACATCTCTACAGAAATGCATAAAACCAAGGATGAAATCCTCCTAGAATGCATGTGGGTTAATATAACAGGAAAAAAGAATAACATTGCCATAGGTGTATACTACAGGCTAACCAACCAAGCAGAAGACATAGGTGAACTTTTTGCTAATTAGTTAACAAATTTATGTAAAAAACACAGCACAGTTGTAGTAATGAGGGACTTTAACTACCCAGATATCAACTGGGAGACAAACTCTGTGTACACATATGGGTGATTGAACAGGTTTCTGGCTAATCCAGCTGACAACTTTGTCATCCAAAGGTAGATGAGAGAACTAGAGGGATAGCTATATTGGACTTAATTCTTACTAACAGAGAAATGATAGAGGGGGTTGAAATTGCAGGAACTTTAGGGGAAAATGACTGCATCATATTAGAATTCAACATAATGCAGACACAAGCAATAGAACATAATCAAACCAGTGTCTCAGACTTTAAAACAGCTGATTACAAAAAACCTAGAGACAGCTTGGGAAGGACTCCATGGATGAAAATTTTAAAGGAGAAAACAATTCAAGAAGCTTGGGAAACTCTGAAAAATACCATTAAAAGAGTCCAGTCTAGCTCAATACCACTAAAAAGGAAAAATAAGAAATCCAAGAAGAAACTAGCATGGTTACAGAAAGAACTCTCTGATAAACTGAAAGACCAAAAGGATAAATATAAAAAATGGAAACTAACTAAACATATAGCCTGAATCTGCAAAGATGAAGTCAAAAAAAGCTAATGTTCAGAATGAAGTAAGACTTGCAACAAATGTCAAAAATAATTTTTAAAAACATATAAAATACAAGAAAAAAGCCAAAGAAACAATTAGTGAATTAATGGAAGAAGATGGCAAGGAAGTGACAGGCAGCAGGGAGAAAACAGAGCTACTTAATTTTCATCTATCTTCACACAAAAAGAAAAAATAGCTCAGCCTACCAAAAACAGAACTGTAAAAGATAGACTAGGAATTCAAATTAAAATAAAGAAGAAAATAGTAAGAACACTTATCCACTCTAGACAAGTTCAAATCATCAGGACCAGGCGGATTACATCCCTGCGTTCTGAAGGGAGCTGGCAGATACGATCATAAAATCACTGAACCATATCCTTCAAACATCCTGGAGCACTGGGGAACTACCAGAGGACTGGAAAAGAGCTGATGTAGTTCCCATTTTCAAAAAAGGGGAAAAAACAGATCCAGGAAACTACAAACCAATCAGCCTGACATCAATACCTGAGAAGATCCTGTAAAAGATAAACAAGAAACAGATCTGTGAACACCTAGAAGCAAGCAGTTGTAATGAGAAGTCAATATAGGTTTGTCAAAAACAGATCATGCTAAAGAAAACTTATCTCATTCTTGGACAAAATGACTAAATTAGTGAAATAGTGAAATGCTGTGGAATAGTATACTTGAATTTCAGGAAGGCGTTTGACAAAACAGACTACAATTTACTTCTTGATATAAATTAGAAAAATGTCTTAGGCCCAATACTGTTCAATATCTCCATAAGATATTAAAGATAAGATATTAAAAGGTGAACTCATCAAATTTGCAGATGACACTAAGTTGGCAGGAATAGCCAACATGCCAGAAGATAGGCTCAAGTTTCAGAGGAATCCTAATAGATTTGAACCCTGGACCTACCTAACAAAATAAAATTCAATGGTGAGAAAAGTTTTACACTTAGGCAAGAAAAACCAAATGCACAGGTACTGATTAGATGAAACTTGGCTCAATAGCAGTAACTACAACAGGCAACTTGGACTCCTAGTGTGAGCCAAAAGTGTGCTGCAGTGGCCAAAAAAATTCAATGCAATCCTAGGCTGCATTAATAAAAGGATAGAATCACATGAAATGTTAGTACCACTATGAGGCTGTAGTAAGACCACATTTGGAATACTGCATCCAGTTTTGGTCACCACAATATAAAAAAGATATTGAGACTTTGGAAACAGTGCATAGAGGAGCAGCAAAGATGATTAGGGGCCTAGAGGCTAAAATATATGAAGAACAGTTGCAAGAATTGGGTATGTCTAGCTGGTGAAAAGAAGGACTAGGGGTTGACATGATAGCAGTGTTCCTGTCAGGGCCCACTTCAAAACCTCATCCTAAGAAAGCAGAACTTGTGGAAGCAGTTTCTTCCAAAAGGAACTTTTATTAGGAGAAGCTGACAGCAGGCATAATAGACAGGATCTGAGGATTTCCCACTCAGATCAATAGGTTAAAAGTGTCTCAAGCAAAACTCCACTCCATAGTTCACCTGCTCAGTTCAAATGGGCCAATCCCCAGGTGTTGTCTGTTGTGGGAAAGAGTAGATAATGCTCGGCTGTCTCAGGGTTACAGTGATGTTTTGTCAACTTTTCACACCTTCCCTTCTGAGAGCAGAGATAAACCATTTACTGGAGGCACATTCCTTTCTCCTTCCCCCTTCTGTAGCTGACATCAAGGGGAGAGATAGTTCACAGAGGAAGTATGCAGAAACAGCAAAGTATTACAATGTAGCAATAGAGGAAAATAAAGCAATAGCCCACAGTGCTTTCCCCCCTCCCCTCCAGGAGCATGGCAGAACCCAGAAGTATAGAGAGAACAGAGTTTGAGTTTAAAGCAAGAAAGGGGTCTCCTTAGAATATGGGTTCTGACAGTTCCAATATTTGAAAAGCTGTCACAAAGAAGAGGGGTGCTTTTCAAAATACCAGAAAGCAAGACAAGAAGCAATGTATTAGACCTGACCCAGTTTGATCCCTTAGGGAAGAGACTCTATTTGAAATGAAAAGGCTAAGCCCCTTTGTATCATGCATTTGTTTTTGTAAACCTGGAACCACTTGTCTCCCTCTAATGCTGCTTTTAGGAAGTCTGTTATGCCATCCCCAACCTGGGGGTTCTCTTTTGTCTGCACTTAGGTGATGACCAATACCATGACTTGGTGAGATGGGATAATTGGTCTCACTGTTTCCTGTTTGGAACTGTTGTATTAGAGCATCTTGGACTAAGCATCAGCTAAGAAGTTCTTTCCCCTGGAAGATAGTAGAGGTGAAGTTAAACTGATTAAAGTACTGAGCCCACTGGACTTGCTTAGGCCTTTTAAGTTCTTGTGATCAGTCAACACCTTGAAAGGGGCCTTGCTCCCTTCCAAGAAGTGCCTTTATGTTAAGAGTGCCCAGTTCACTGCATAAGCTTTCTTTTCCCACACTGCCATTCAATGTCACTCAGTTTCTTGGAGGTGTATATGCATGGCTGCAGGGTACCCTGGCTGTTCTTATGTAAAAATATTGCTCTCATCGCCACATCATTAGCATCTGCTTGAATAATAAATGGGGCACTAAGGTCTGGGTGTTTTTTTTAAAAAACAATTTGATTGGTTTTTCCATTTTTGCACCCAGAAGCTTAAGAGCCAATGTGGAGATAGGGTAATCAATTGAATACAATAACATCATAAATATACAGCTCACATAATACTCCTTAAAATTTCCCTCTCTATCAATTAACATGATATAGTCAAATTTCTAGATAAAATTCATTAATACATTCCTAAATAAAAATTCCATTAATCAATAAATATTATCTGCAACCCATTACTTATATAAATCAAAGTCCTGTTTTCAGCTATTATTAATTTAATACCATA